AGACTGGTCTTGAACTCCTGAGCTCAGGCAATCCTCTCACCTCCACCTTCCAAAGTGCTTGGATTACAGATGTGAGCCACCACACCCTGCTACTACTTTACTTTTTAAAAGTAAAAACTATATATATATATATATGTGTATATATATATACACATATATATATATACATATATATATAATTTGTACAACATGACATTTTACTATACAGTATACACAGTGAAATGATCACTACAGTCAAGCAAATTAACATATCTATCGTCTTGCATAGCTACCATTTGTGTGAGAGTGTGTGTGTGTGTGTGTGTGTGTGTGTGTGTGTGTTTTTCTGGTAAGAGCATCTGACCTGAAATGGAATTTTTATGCAAAATTCCAGTATACAATTTAGTATTATTAATTATAGTCATCATATTGCACCTTAACTCTCTAGATTTATTCATCCTACATAGCTGCAAGTTTGTACCCTTTGACCAACATCTCCCTATTTTCTTCACCTCCCCGCACCTGGTAGCCACTGTTCCTTCTGTTTCCATGTATTCCAATTTTTGGATTCCACATATACATGAAATCATGCAGCTTTTTTTTCTTGTATGGTTTATTTCACTTAGCACAGTGTCCTCCAGGTTTGTCCATATTGTCTCAACTGACAGTATCTTCTTCTTCTTTTTAAAAGCTGAATAATATTCCATTGTGTAGCATAATTTATTTACCTATCTATCCATCATTTAGCACTTTTTTCATTTTCAAATCTTGGCTGTAATAAATAACACTGCAATGAACACAGGAGTGTGGCTATTTCTTAGATATTCTGATTTCTTTTGAGTATATACTCACAAGAGGAATTGCTGGATTATAAGGTAGTTCTATTTATAATTTTTTGGGGGAACTTCGTTATGTTTAACATAATGACTGTATCCTACCAACAGTGTGCAAGGGATCTCTTTTCTCTACATCCTCACCAACACTTGTTGTCTTTCGACTTTTTGAAATAGCCATTCTAACAGGTGTGAGGTGATACCTCATTGTGGTTTTGATTTGCATTTATCTGATAATTACCTTTTCATATACCTGTTGGCTACTTGTATATCATTTTTTTTTTTTAGATGTGCTTATTTAGGTCCTGGCACACTTTTAATTTGGTTATTTAGTTTATTTCTATTCAGTTTTTGAGTTCCTTATTTACAAGGACTGACAATTAAGTTCACAAACTCATCCTAGAGAGCGTGCTACATACTTCATTGCTGAATATCACTATGGTCACCTTCGAAGTACTCCTCTCGGGAAGCTATGCACTGATGCTAGTACCTAGTTAACCCATCAAAGCAATTTTGGAACTCTTTTTTCCTGAATGGCCATGAGAACTGTCATTGTATTACATTGATGTCATGAAAATGTCTTTCTTTCTATATTTTCTTTATTGTCTGGTAAAGAAAAAAGTCATTGCGGGCTAGATCAGGTGAGTAGGGAGGGAGTTCCAGTACAATTATTTGTACTGTGTTACCAACCTAAGCGCATGTGGCAAGTTTATTAACTTAATTGTCAGACCGCAACAAATAACAATGACAGCTCTGATGGGCATTCCAGAAAAAAGAGTTACAAAATTGCTTTGACAGACTAGTCGCTGACATGGTACATAGCTTCCCATGGAGAGTACATCGAAGGTGACCGTGGTGATATTCAGCAGTGAAATATGTAGCATTTTTTCTAGGGTGGTTTGTGAACCTAATTTTCAGACTTGTATCTTGGTTATTAGCCGTCTAAGAGACATATAGTTTGCAAATATCTTCTCTTCTTTTGTAGGTGTCTCTTCACTCTGCTGATTATTTTCATTGCTGCGCAGAAGCTGTTTAGTTTGACGGAGTCCTCATTATCTTTTGTTTTTATTGCTTGTGCTTTGTGTTATATCAAATAATCATTGCCCAAACTAACATCAAGAAGCATTTCCTTTATGTTTTCTTCTAGAAGTTTTATGGCTTTAGGTCTTAGCTTTAATTCTTTAATCTATTCTGAGTTGATTTTGTATGTGTTATGAGATAAGGGTCTAATTTTATACTTTTGCATGTGGTTATTCAGTTTTCCCAGCACCATTATCCTAAAGAGATTATCATTTTTTCCCACTGTGCTTTCTAGTTGCCTTTGTTGAAAGTAAGTTTACTTTTTATGCTTGGGTTCATTTCTGGGCTCTTTATTCTGTTCCATGGTCTATTTGTCTGTTTATATGACAGTACCATACTGTTTTGATTACTATATATTTGTAATATGTTTTGGAATCAGGAATTTTGATGCTTCCAACTTTGTTCTTCCTTTCCAAGACTGACTATTCAGAGTCTTCGGTGGGTTTGTATAAATTCTAAAATTGTCTTCTCTATGTCTGTGAAAAATGTCATTAGAATTTTCATAGAGATTGCATTGGATTTGTAGATCACTTTGGAGAGTGTAAACATTTTAACAATTTAATTCATCCTAGCCGGGCTTGGTGACTCAGCCTGTAATCTCAGCAGAGGAGGCCGAGGCGAGTGGATTGCCTGAGCCCGAAGGTTCGAGACCCACCCAGGCAACTTGGCAAGACCTCATCTCTACAATAAATCAAAAACTAGCCAGGCATGGTAGCGTGCACCTGTAGCTCCGGCTACTTGGAAGGCTAGGCGGAAGATCACTGGAGGCCAGCAGGTCGAGGCTGCAGTGGCTGTAAGCATGCCACTGCACTCCAGTTTGGGTGACAGAGACTCCAATTCAAAAAAAAAAAAAAAATCTTCCTGCCCACAGGATATCTTTCAATTTATTTATGTCTTCTTCAATTTCTTTCACTAATTTTTTTAGGTTTTCATTATACATATCTATTACCTCCATGATAAAATTTATTCATAAATTTTTTTTGCTGCTATTCTAAATGGGTTTATTTTCCTATATTAATATTTCTTTCTGGATAGGAAGTTTGTGTAAGGAAACCCAACTGATTTTTGTATGTCGATTTGTATCCTGTAACTTACTGAGTTTGTCTGCTGTTTTAAAATTTAATTTAATTTACTTTTTAAATTGTGAGGTACAATTCAGTGTTAGGTAAACAAATATTCATTGTGCAGGAACCCTTGTTGATGAAGTGTGCTCCCTCCAGGCAGATCTCGACTACTGTCAATCCCACCTCCCCCTCTCCCCTGCACCTTCCCACTACTGTGAAACCTCTTTTTATAGTATTATGGTAGTTGTTCAAGGTCCACTTATGAGTGAGAAAATGTGATACTCAGATCTTTGTTTCTGTGAAAGATTACTCAATATTATAAACTCTAATTCCATCCAGGTTGCTGCAAAGTTCATGATTTTGTTCTTCTTTATCCAGTCCTCTTTTGATGGGCAGCATGGTTGGTTCCAGGTTCTTGCTATTGTGAACAATGCTGCGATAAACATACGTGTGCAGATATTTCTTTTATAGACTGATCTGAGTTCTTCCAGGTATATTCCCAGTAGGAGGATTACAGGGCCATATGGATTTTTAGAACTTTTAGGAATCGACGCACTGTTTTCCACAGAGGTTGTACTAGTTTACACTCCCACCGACAGTGTAGAAGTTCCTTTTTCACCACATCCTCTCCAGTATCTGTTATTTTTTGAGATATTGATAATGGCTATTCTGACTGGAGTTAGGTGGTATCTCAGTGTAGTTTTAATTTGCATCTCCTTGATGACTAGAAGGGTTTCTTTTTGGATGATATCTTCAGGGTCATCTGTAACGAGAGATAATTTTACTTTATCTTTTTAACTTTGCATGAATTTTAATTTTGTTTTCATTTCCAGCACTTTGTTTAATGCAGGTGGTGACAGTTGGCATTATTGCCTTGTATCAGAACACAAAGTAACAGTTTGGTGTACTAGATGTGTGGTATAGCTACTTCTTTCCTCGGGGAGCAGTTGGGAATCACAGTTTCTCTTGCTCTAAATTAAGCCAGGGAGAGTCAAATGTCTGCAATCTAGTTCAGACTGTACGCTCTTTCAACCCATTGCTTTGCCCTTTGGTGTCTCCACCATGTCCAGTCCTGTCAGCTCTCAGAAACAGATGAGTTGGCTAGAGGCTTGGTGGTATCTTTGGAGTGATTCAAGGAAAGAATTTCTGGAAAGTACCTACATGCCTGGTCAGGCTCCCAGAGGATGAGTAATTGTCTGACCAGTCAGCTCAAAGTCTGTTGATTCTTACTTTTCATTGAGCAAAAATTGGCTTTTATATGATCTCATATTGATCGAAATTCACTTGAATACAGCATTTATTTTTGCTCTCTAATTCTTCCAGACTTGGTTCTTATTTTTTACAATCCAGTATGGCAATTGAGAAAACACTCACTTTTTTTTAACATACTGTGACTAAAAAATACTTTTCATAGTCTTTTGACACAGGCTTTTTAATTTCTCAAGAGATTTACCAAGTCTATCTAGCAACCAGAAACCAAAAATAAATTTTTTCCACTCCCCTGAGGACAGTAATATAAAATCCTGTTCCTGCCCTAGGACTGAAGAGACTATAAAAAGGGGAAGTGGGAAGGTAGAAGAGAAACAGTGTCTTACTATCACCAGATATTATCCTGGTTCACATATAAGAGCATCTTCTAAAAGCAAACTATCTATAGATTTGCATTGTCACAAACCAGTAGCAATTATGTCACAGTTATATTGAGTGAACTTAATTGGCCAGTGTATGCAAAGCAGGGAGGGACAGCTGGAGTTTTTATCAGCTTTCCTTTTTATCATGTGTGGTTGTTTGAATCCTTTCCAAACTGCTGTTGGTTCTGCCATGCCAAGGCTGTTGTAGCTGACAGGAGCTAAACATGTGGTGCCTGAGGTATATTGAGACACTCATGTTGCAGACAGAAGCAGTCCATTCCATGATATCTTTAACATCTTCCTCTTACACAGACTGAGAAAATCTGCTGAGCTGCTCTCCAGACAAGCAACACATGTGGGCAGCGGGGTCACTTCACACATGGAGATTTCTGTTTGGGGCTGTACCACTGTGGGAGGCCATTGTGTGTATTGCATGCAGTAGTAAACTCCAACATCCTCAGCCTCCACTCTGCTGATTTTCAGTGTGAAATCTGTCCCTGACCCGCTGCCACTGAATCTGTCTGGGACCCCAGAAAACCGGTTGGAAACCTTATAGATCAGGCCCTGTGGAGAATGGCCTGGTTTCTGCAGGTACCAACTCAAATAGGTGTTTCCATCACTGTGCAGCAGGCTCTGACTAGACCTGCAGGAGATGGAGGCTGGCTCTCCAAGGGTGACGGGCAGAGAGTGTGCAGTCTGAGTCATCACAATATCTCCATTGCATCCTGAAATAATGAGAGAGGAGTACAACGTTATGTACAAACATTATATATTATCTTTATAATTTTCCTTTGGTTAAAGATTTTAGGCATTTTTTGTGCGTTTGTGGTTCTGATTCATATTTCAAAAATATTCACCATTTAAACAGAACAAAGATTTTTCAAGACTCATAGGTTCTCCTACACCATCACTGTCTGTGTGACAGTCTTCACCAGATCACAAGTTCTAAGAATCTTTCTGGCACATACCCCATCCTGGAGGACAAGACATGGATAGAACACCTATGGGAAGAATTGAGTCCTTCAGAGCTTACCCTTCCACCCCAGTTCTCCTTCCACATCTCCCTTCTGTTCTTACCAGGGACCCAGAGCATCAGCAGCCCCAGGAGCTGAGCAGAGAATCTCATTTTGAGAAGTTGAACTGCAGAGCCCTGATGAGTCAAGGCAAGGTTGAGCTTTTATCACAGAAGGTCCTTCCTGGGAAACAATAGGCAAATCTCCTGGTGGGTGCAGTGGTGTGGAAAGAGCCAGTGGGGAGTGGAGGAGGGGCTTCTCTTAATGGCGTAAAGTATTTATTTCTTTATCTGTCGGAAAAAAGTCAACAAACTTTATGATGCCTGCAGCAGAAGAAAGATCCAATTATGATGGTCTAGATCTCTGGGGAATGCACAGGGCGTGTGGCCCTGCCCTGCTAAGGAAGTGTCAGTGACCTGACAATGTAGAAATGGGTGTTCAGGTCAGTTTCTGGGAGGTAAATGCCACTCTGCTTGGCCCCTTTCCCAGCTAATCTGGAGGCATAAGCAGCTCTCATTCTACTAGTCTGATCATAGACATTTCTTCTAATAACAGTTGGGTTAGTTCAAGTTAGTCTCACCTGATTAACTGTATAGAATATTAGAAGCAAGTGTCACAAATGGTAGTTTCCTGGATATAGTACATTAAACTCCATGAGAACACTGAAGTAAAAAATAACGTGGCAGGGAGAAAAACATCTGTCTTTTTAAGGCAGAGCATTAATAGCCTTGTTTAAGACAAGTGGAAAAGGGGAAAGAATTTTAGCCTCAAGCAATGAATATGAAAATTCTGACAATTAGTTTTTATGATCTGGTGAATAAGCTATCATACTTATCTCACTATGTGTTCAAGAAATAATGAAAAAGAATAAAGGGTAATTTGATTTTTTTTTTCTGAATGAGGATATCAACATTTTTTTCCATATCCACTCTTTTTTGTGTAGCATGTATCTTGGGCTGCAACCATCATGAATCCATGGTTTAAAATGTTAGAATACCAGGAACTGGATATAGTCTTTTAATGTCTCGAGCTAATTTGAATCTTGACTGACTTTCTTTTTGTCATCTCAAGTGGAAGCTCTTTATTTCTGGATGTTGGGAGGCTTCAAGAGTTTTTAGATTAAGATTCTTCATTGAGAGTGTTGGCCAGGTGCCCTGTAGACAAGAGCTGAGAGGGATAACCTCTTACCATCCAGGATATCAAGTGTTCTCTCTTTAGTTCGGCCTAGTTTAACAAGAATCTAGTTCAGATTCTCCCTTATGTACCTAGTACTAACATCTCCCACCTCTTGACATGTGGGCTGCATCAGAAGCACCTTAGGAGTTGTTCCTCATATTCATATCAGTCTCCTTCCAAGGAAATGGTCTCTGAGAAGACAACCTGGATGTCTCCATTAGAAGCAGGGAAGTCCAATACAGCAGTAAGAGAGAAATTCACAAACAAAGAAATACCATCAGCCACCAGAAACTGGAAGAGGCAAGGAACAGATTTTCCCCTAGACCCTTGAGACAAAGTACATCCCGGGACTTCTGGCTTCCAGAAATGTGATAAATAAATAAATTTCTATTCTTTAAAAGAAAAAAAAAAAGAAGCAGGGAAGTCTGTAGGAAAGGTCAAGGCCTGCTTTTGCCCTTGAGTCACAAGGCCTTTTTGCACTGCTGGAAGATACTCAAACATTCTTTCTAGGAATTTCACACCTGGTGTCACATCTTTCTGACTCCAACTCCTATCCCTCTTCCCCTCCCTAACTCTGCTCTGCCACACTAGCCTCCTCAGTGTTCCTCAGACATGCTGGGCACATTCCTGCTTTGGTACCTTGGCACTTGATCATCCTCCAGATGGCTGCTTAACTCCCTCCCTCCATACAGTTGAAAATTCCTCTTCACATCAGTATGCTCCACCTCTCTTCCATGCTTGATTTTTCTCCATAATAAGTATTACCATCCCAACATGCTCTATATAACTGCTTTATCAGTGCAGGAATCCTGCCTGCTCTTTTCATTGCTGGGACTTGACTGATTTTACTCAGCCTTGCTGATTTTACTACGAAAAAGTGTGTTAGGTCGGAGCAATTCAGGGGCACTAATTTCAGAAGTCTTGTCTCCAAAGCTGTGAGAGCCTTAATTTGTGTTGTTTTCATCCACCAAGTTTGTGGGACTTTGTTACAACAACCCTAAGGTTGCCGTACCCACTATACAATATAGAAATTTGGTTTGTGGGAAAATCAATAAGAATTTTGTCATGTCTATAAATAGAAAGTGTAATGTTCTTAATCCAAAAAAGAATCTCGGTCTCTTATATGTCAAGAAAATATGCTGGACAACAAAGCTGAACAGCAGTCCAAGCTCCACATCGGATACCTTTAATTTTGACCTGAGCCAACTGAATGAAAAATAACTTATCTAGGTGGGTTTTATTGTTTCTTTCCCCTTTTGCCAGAATCTGTTGTTTTTAGGGCCAATAAAACTGGAAGCCAATGTGTGAGTTTTATGACCTGGGAAGACTGTCTGGTTGGTGAAAATGTTCACATTGGTTATCCTGGAGTCATAGTTGTAGGGGTTTGGGGAGTGAAGAGTACAATAGGGTCACACATCCTGTGGATTTTGAGCCATAGACTTGGTCAGCCCAAACAGTCCACACCCACACAGCTTTGGACAAGATTAGAGAAACACAGAGGCCTGTAGACAGAGTCTTGCTATGTTGCCAAGGCTGGTCTCGAACTCCTGGCCTCAAGCAGTCCTACCGCCTTGGCCTCCCCCAAGTGCTGGAATTACAGGCATGAGACATTGCACCCAACCCTACTTAAAATAAACAAGGGTATCTGCATATGAGCATTTGCATACTTAACCCTGAATTGTACTCCATATCTTTAAAATTAAAGATTAAAAAAAATTTTATTCCATGCTTCAGGGAGAGGATGGCGTCTCTCTTCTGCTGGCAGTGCAGAAAGTTGCATGGCATTCCTGTTGCTGACAACCACTTTCAAGTCATGAAGGTGGCTGTTAAATGGATGGAACTAAGGGAGACAGCAATGAGATGAAAATCTATTTGATCTTACTTTATGCCATTGACTCAACCAACTCTGAAACTCACCTTTCATCTAACCCTCTTTTAGTGGTACCGGAAGCTTTCAAGTGCTACTTTTTGTACATGTCTCACAAAGTAAATAATCTACACAGGTCAGTAGATTCTAGATAAACTGGTCTCCTTGCTCTTTGGATGAGTGTATATTATCTCACTCAAAGCAACTGAAGTATGTGCTATCATGCATTATTCAATTATATAAACCCTTGAGCAGCTTTTGCCCTGAGCAAGGGTAAAAGACCAGGTGCAGTAACTTGAATGAAGAGCTGCCCTGAGCTTCACTCAGCCCCTCATGATGTAACTAATGCTGTGTGTGGGGTGTGGGAATCAGGGACAATGGCATCTCTGCCAGACAAACAACTGCAAGATGGTACATGTGACCTTCCCTGGCATCTTACACAATTTCCACTCAGATATGATCCTTTGAAGCAGATGGTATGGGTAATAGTTACAAAACAGCCTCAATGCCCAACCAACCTGGGGTTCGTGGATGGGGTTGTGACACTGTGGGAAGCTGAGAATGAATTTACAGAGACTACTATACAAAGGCAATATCTCCGGCCTCCCTATTATTGATGAGTTGTGTAGACAGGGTAACATCATCTGGCTCTCTACCCACAAATCTGGTTGAGACCTCTAAGTTGGAAGCTGATAGACAAGAATCCTGGATCCTGTCCTGAGCACTGTTGGTACCAGTGTAAATTGTCATGGACTATTTGCTGTCTTCAGAACTGATGATGACTTTCTCTCTTTAGAAGTCCTGCTAAACACTTTTTATAACGAGTAAAAATAATATCATGTAAAATTTAAAAATACGTAAGTGAAAAGATATATGACAATAATTCCAAGAATTAATTTTTTTTTTTGAGTTGGAGTCTCACTCTGTTGCCCAGACTGGAGTACAGTGGCCAGGAGTGGCCACTTCAGCCTCGACCTGCTGGGCTCCGGCGATCCTTCCGCCTCAGCCTTCCGAGTAGCTGGAATTACAGGCATGCGCTACCACGCCCGGCTGATTTTTTGATTTATTGTAGGGATGAGGTCTCACCAAGTTGCCCAGGCGGGTCTCAAACCCGCGGGCTCAGGCAATCCACTCACCTCAGCCTCCCAAAGCGCAGGATTACAGGCTGAGGCACCGAGCCCGGCCAAGAATTACTCTTTTACATCTGATGAAAATGTCATTTTTCCTGGGTTTTGAAAAATTCTATAAAGGCTGATAAGAGTTTTTGTCTATGAGTACCTTAAATAGAATACCTTACTAGGTTGTTTTCAGTTGATTCTTTGTACCCTTTTAACCTCCAATAAATATTATTATTAGTAGTATTATTACAGTCAGAGTCTCACTCTGCCACCCAGGCTGGAGTGCACTCGAATGATCTTGGGCACTGCCACCTCAATCTGCTGGGCTTAGACAATCTTTCCTCCTCAGCCTTCCAAGTAGCTGGGATTACAGGCGTAGGCCACCATGCTCAGCTAATTTTTTTTATTTACTATAGAGATGAGATCTCGCCATGTTGTTTATGCTAGTCTCAAGCTCTTGAGCTCAGGCAGTCCCCTTGCCTCAGCCTCTCAAAGTCCTGAGATTACAGGTGTGAGCCACTGTGCCCAGCTTTGAGAAATATTGTTAAATGGAAATTATTCTATTTATGTAATATTTTAAAATAAATCCAATATAAATTATATAACTGTTTGCAGTGTGTTTGGGACACCGTATTTTGCTGTGTAAGAACATGGAGTACTTCAGCTGTAGCCGGCAGTGACAAAAAACATTAACTGGAAATTGGAAACTGGTTGTTCTCTACCTTGACTGAGACTCATTGGCATGACTCCTCTGCCTCTGAGGCTTCCAGGGATGCAGCATCAGGTTCAAGACTGAGCAAAAGAAGAGTCCTTGCCTTGTCCATATTGAGGCAGTTTCATTGATTAGCTTAGGTTACCAGCATTTCACAAGGCTCCATGCTTCCTCCCTTCATCCTTCCCTAGCTCATGATGACATTTAATAGACATAGTTTAGAAGCCATTTACTCTGTGGGCCAACTTCCCCTCCCCATCTGA